ATATCGTATATAGCTTAATGTTGATAGATTCACTATTGCAATCCTTTTTGTTAGTGGCAATTAGATTTCGATGGAATTTTCGATAGTTTCGCTGTTCATTGTGAGAAGCCAGATTGGAATTATTTCTATTAAATCTTGTTAATAAATGTAAATGCATTATAGTGTGGCAGAACTGGCATATATTATGTAAAACTATTTTGTTTCTATCGGATTTGTGTTATATTTGATAAATCTAATAGAGAATGATGAATTGATGTAGAAAGCATTACAGGTACAATGACGAAATCAAAAACGATGGCAAACGAACTGCAGAACCGTACATTATTAGATTAGAAACAACGTCAAGAGACACCGGGTCGTGTTACCGGGTCACGATTACTCATGCTCTAAAACTACGACCAATGTAATAAATTTTGGCACTTCCTAATAAATCATGGGATAGAGGCCATAGAATTAAGCAAAATGGATGTATCCGGATAGTTAATAGATTATAAGAACAACTATGTACTTTATAGTACGTAGTCGACTAAAAAATAGTATTATATTTTCGAGAGGAATACTTTCCTAAGATTCCATTACTCTTTGTGCTTGTTGCACCCGAAGTATTTAATATCCGCAAATACAACAACGATGTTTTTAGCGAGAAATTGGAATTTGATGTTTTTTTACGATAGATCTTAGAGGACGGCTTATTACTTTATTAGAGCAATCTATAATATTATTGTTAATTGAATTATGATTAATAAGAAGAGTCTAACTTAAAACAGAATTTAATTTCACGTAAAAAGATTGTATTGTGTAATTTTGAATCAAATTCTGATTTTGCGTTAATTTTCATTGTAATGGCGTGTGTATAATCCTAAAGTACTTATTACTTGGTAAAAATACCACGACATAATCATTTTTCCGACATCGAAATGCAAGGCATAAATAAATAAGCATGTTATTTGCTCAAACAAGTTATAATCGGCAATTGTGTCTTGCGTTTCATGGCTGCCGCTTGTAATTGTTGTTTATTTATGGTTTTTGATTGTTAAGAATTTTAGGAAATTAATTGTCTTAAATTATTTAAACACAAATAACTATAAAAACAGTCGGTTTAAACAATGTAAATAAGAATACCTTTTTACGTAAAATTAAAATATCATTCATATTGTGTGTAAAGTTTTATTAATAATAATTCAAATACTAAAAAATGATGAATCGCTACAGTAAAACTGGAGTTTTCTGTTATTAATCACAAAAAAGTGTGGTTACTGTGTGTGTATCTAGACATAACTTAATTATTTATGTGCTAAGACGAAATAGCCTTACAATATTTTTTTGTAGAGAGGCTTTCAAGGCGCGATGAAATCCTGTTTGTCGGAAATTTGTTAATTCGTATTTCTTGAGAACTATTGTTGTCCTCATTTCAGTTGTGTCTAGATACTTGTATTCTTACCCTTTCATTAGGTTGATTCTATACATATGCTTTTGTTCAATGATGAGAAAACATAGTTGCAGATCAAAAAATGCTAGTCACAAAATACTAGAAGCAACAAACTTACTAAAACGAATAGACAAAACAGCTTTGCAACTCTTCGTGTTGACTTTTAGCAATGAGACCATCAAAAAAAATTTAAGAAATTAAAACAATCCGAGAAAAGAAAGTTGATATCGAAGCGGTAAGATAATCTAAATTAGTTCACCAGTGCAAAAGGTTTAAGCCTTTGAGTATACACAACGGTTCTGCAGGAAACAACGGAAAATCCAAGCCTAAATAAAGGAGAAGCTCATACTGTGAATTATAAAGCTTGCATAATAGTCCTTAAAGATCAACCAAATATAAAGAGCACCAACTATGGCTCTAAATCAGCCATTTCAAAAGCATAACAATGACCAACGATAAAAATTGTATAACGTGCAATGCCAGTGGTTTACTTCAACACCAGCCGGAACTCCTAATCTACCCACTGACTTAAAAAATTGATGTGTGTTTAATATCAGAAATGCATTTAACGACACAATCATGTTTAAAACTAAGGGGTTATCGACTGTACCATACCAATCAGCTCCAAAATTTTCCGATTGGAAGTGCAGTTATAGTCAAGGAAGGTATCGTCCACCACCAAGATGAAAGTTACGAAAACATAAGCAACTTCGGTCAAAATTGGAGCTAAACGTTATACGCGAACCCTAACATTTGCTGCCCGCCAAGATCTAATTCGAAAAAGGAGGACAACTAATCTGTTCTTAGCTCCTAGGAGATAAGTTTATTCTTGGAGGAGACTTTAATGGCAAACATACTCCCTGGAGATCAAAAATTATAAGAACCAAAGGTAGAGAATTATATAAAGCAGCTATACAAGAATGGTAAATTGTGATGATTCGTCAACTGACAGAAATAAAATTCCCTTCCTACTAGATTTCTTTATTAGTAAAGCTATCACTTCAAATCTTGCGCGCCAAGAAGAAGGGCTAAATATGGCAGACGATCACTGCACAATAATACTTACATTTCATCATCATCATCATTAAGCTGCCCTCTGCGTCCATTGTTGCATTTTGTTCCATTCAATTCTATTCTGTGCTGTCTGAATCCAATTGTTGATCATTCTTTTGACGTCGTCTGTCCAGCGTGCAGGCGGACTTTCTCTACTTCGTCTGTCCGCTTGCGGTCTCTACTCATGCAACCGTTTTGTGCGCTGCTCATTCTTCATTCGCGTAATATGACCTGCCCAGTTCCACTTCAGCTTTGCCACAATGTTGACCACATCATTTACGCCAGTTCTTCTTCGTAGGTCTTCATTTTGTGTGTGGTTCCTCAGGGTTACACACAGCAGCGTTAATGTCAAAGTTTTGGAGCCGTATATCATAACCGGAACCACGCATTGATTGAAAGCCTTTCTTTTCAAATATATATGAATATTGCTCTTGAAGATGTCTCTAAGTTTTCCATTCTTATGCGCGTGTGTGCGATCGTTCTGTTTAGATCGCTTGTTTAATTATTTCTCGATACACGAACCTCATGGCCAAGACATACATAGCTGTCAACCCTCTCAATCTCATTATCAACAATGTTGATGTTAGAGTTGGGAACAAGATTTGTCATAAATTTTGATGTCTCCACGTTGATATTTATCCTGCATCTTACACCAACCTCCTGTAAGAGGTTCAGCAAAGGTTCCGAAATAAAGCCTTTTTGGGTCCAATCCAGTTGCTTAAATGCACTCTTCAGGAATGTGATGAACAATGGGGGATATTGTATCGCCTTGTCTTACCCCACGCCCAATGGGTATTTGGTCTGTAAATTTAATGCAAGTAATTTTGTCGTCATTGAAGCATTCTTGTAGATGTTTTAAATAAGGTTGATATAAATAAGAATGTAGAGTCATGTAAAGTAATTCCAAGGGAAAGTCATCCAAAACTTACTAAATAAGTATGGTTGGAGTCATTTTAAAGAAGAAGTATCTAGCAAAATTCAGCTACATATTCTTCTAAAAAATGTAGAGCAACTTGATAAGGAAGCTGATGGTTGAAAACTAACCGTTGACATCCAACAAGCTGCTTGGACAGTACACCAGAGTTTGCAAGAAAAGCCACAGGAAAATAGTACAACTTACATCTCGGCTAAGGAAAGAAAGAAGATTTTACCAATAAACTGCTGGTCGCGTTAGACCAAGTGAACTCATGGACTAAAATCTGAAAATACTAATAAATGATACATGCTAGTACGCAGATTACAAATAACTAATCCGTTTAAGTTGGTGGGTACAAAGTGGTTAAATTAGTTTCTAGTACGATAACGATATATTCAATGTAAGGCATCAGCAAACGTAGAAAGATAGGTTAAAGAAAAATTACTCTTTAGTAAACAGACTTATTGTGATATCATGAGCTCTGCAGATAAACAAGCTCTGCTCTTTAGTTTGTTCTTCATTCACTCACTGTAAGAAATTTATTAGCTTCTATATGTATGCTCGTATGTTCCTGCTAAAAGAAGCGTATCGTCGGCATACCTTAAACTATTTATTGCAATGCCGTTAATTTTAAAGCCTATATCTTGGCTATTAAGTTTCTTATTTACTATGTCTTCTGAGCACAGATTAAAAGGGATTGGTGGTAGTATACATCCATGACGCATTCCTCTCATTATTTCTATTTCTTCACGTGTCATGTCTTCTACTGGCACAGCTGCTTTTCGCCCGTAGTAGAGATTTGAAATAATTTTTATGCCTGGAGGTCTATCTTTTTCTTTATTAACGTTTACTTTAGTTGGTCGTATCTAACTCTATCGAGGACTGGTTCTGCTTTATGTTTAGGCATCTTTGTGTAATGCTATTAAGTGAAAACAGTGCTTTTATTGTTCCTAGACCTTTACGGATTCTATGTTGTGTATATGGTATTTATTAGTTTTACCAGAATATGAATCTGGCCATCCTCTATCAATTAAAGATTTTTTTTTATTTCAGCTGCTCTTCTAATAATTTAATTCACAAAAAATTTGTTAAAAATTTTTGACATAAAAGGGGTAAAGATGTTAACAGAAACGATGTAACTTTTCTCATTAAAATACAATATTTTACTTCAAAAACTCGGTATCCTGTTACACGATTACAATATTTAACTTTATTTTCTTTTTTCTATTTATTATTCGTATCTGCACGAATATAACTATGTTTTACCTTTTATGACTCAATGTAAATTAGATAAATTAGATGATAAAGAGCGTGATTCAACACGCTTGTCGATGTACTCTGTCCTGTAATCTTAAAAATTAGCAAATAAATGCGATAAACATGACTTTATTATCACTTAGTCATATGCGAAATTGAATTTAATTTCAACACTTTTAGTGAACTATTAACATTTTCAATTATTACCTAATTTAGATAATATTTATCAATTAATAAGTGGAACATTTTGAAAATTTAATACTAATATTATTTGAAGAATAATGTTTTAAATCAAAACTTTTTTATTTGCAGAATTAAGTCAAGCACAAAGAACATTTGCAAAATGTCTACAAGGATTCACATTCGAGTGCATAGGAAGCACACAAACGGACGATGAACGTGTAATTTGCAAGTCACTTGAAGAATTCAGCAAACTGATCAGCGCCATTGAAGACGAACGAGATAGAATGGTAAATTAACCATCAATAGAATCTATTTTCATTTCATTTTATTTTTTAATTAACCACAACACATTTTTATTCTCTTAAACGCGTGGAATTGAACCGCCATATGACAAGCGGAAGTTATATCGTATAAGAAAACGTATTTCTTCTTTTTTTCTGTACCAAACTCCAGATGTTTCCGTTGGTATTCGGTATTCTTCACGTTGGAATGTTGTATAAAGAGAACCGTTTAGTTATAATCTAAACAAAACTTATAAACACAACTTCCTTATTTCATTTTTTTTTCAACGTTAATCTTTCTATTAAGATTTGTATCATAAATTTGGGATAAATCGAGGTGCTATGAATTACAAGATAGAATTATATTTTATAAATAACGAAATAGACTAGTCGACGACGTTATCTTGCAGAGGAAGTGGAGAATGTCTTCAATCTAGTTCAATTCGAGTACATTAAAAACCTTTAAATTGAAGTGTTATTGTTTCGATACGGTTTCGTTATCATCGTTTAATGGGGGTCAATTCGATCGATAACTATTTATGATTTATTTTGCTCTAAGATTCTCTTTCAAGTAGTAAGAGACTTCTTGAACAATCGTAATTTCAACACTTTCTCTTGTGAAAATAGGATGAGTCACGCCAACCTTAGACAATTTCATCCTACGTATTCTAACTTAAGTAATTTTCATTTTTTTTAGGATCAATCCATAAAATCAAATGTATGTCACATCAAAAACGAATTTAAAAAAGGACACCTGTATTGTTAAAAATTGTTGAGTGAGATAATAATATTGAAGAATTATGATATGATATGCATATTAAAAAGTATCTTAAAGATAAAGTACCTATTAGATAATATTTTGAAATTTATGGGGAAAATTATAAAAGGAAAAATTGTTAAACTTGTAAATCAACAATAAACCGAAATTTTGAAAAAATCTTATCGATTTTGTTTTTATGAATCATGATAAGATATGTATGTAAAAGTGTAGCTTAAAGATTCTAGTTTATGGTATGGTATATAAACTATAAGATAACATTGCTGAAATTGCTAGGAAAAACTTATTAAAGGAGAAGTTGTCAAACTTGTAAATCAAAAATAATCCGCAATTTTGAAAAAATCATATCAATTGTGTTTTTAAGAATCATGATATAATATATATGNAAGTTATGGTCTATTTCCGGTAGACCGGAAGTGGCGGCCATCTTGAAAACATTTTAGATCGAAAGTTCCGAATGAACAACCCATGCTACCAAAATTTCAAATCTCTACGAATAGTGGAAGATGAAAAAGTTCTAATGAACCAGTTACGTGAGACACCTGTATAAATTATAAGATAATATTATTGACATTTCCAGGAAAACTTGGAAACATCGTCAAACTTGTAAATCAAATATAATCCGAAATTTTGACAAAATCCTATCGATTTTGTTGTTATGAATCATGATAAGATATGTATGTAAAAGTGTAGCTTAAAGATTCTAGTTTATGGTATGGTATATAAACTATAAGATAACATTGCTGAAATTTCTAGGAAAAACTTATTAAAGGAGAAGTTGTCTAACTTGTAAATCAAAAATAATCCGCAATTTTGAAAAAATCATATCAATTGTGTTTTTAAGAATCATGATATAATATATATGTTAAATTTAAGTTTTCTAGTTTGTGGTATGATATAAAAACTATAAGATAATATTATTGAAGTTTCTTTGAAAAAAATCATATCTACTGTAGTTTTAACAATGATGATATAATGATAGGTATGTTAAATTGAAGCTTAAAAATTCTTATTGAAATTTCCAGGAAACAATTATTAAGTAAGAAATTGTCAAATTTATAAATTAATAATAACACAAAATAGATGCAGTAGTTCCTCAACGATGGGTAGAATTTTGCAATTTTATTTTGGTTCACATGGAAGAAAATCAATGGTTGTTATGCAGGCAGAGATTGAAACACCAGAAAGATCAATAGTACAAATTGCTGAAGTTAGCGCGTCTACAGTAAAAAGGATTTTAAAATGTAACAAGTTTATAGAATTCAAGCCAAAATTTGTCACTAATTGCAAAATCTGGATTTTGATTCTTGATTATTATTTTTGGTTTTGGTCCAATATCCTATTAAACCTTAGACGCAAAATGTTTTTTCAACAACATGGTGCCCCAGCGCAAATAACACGAGATGTACGAAATTAATGGATAATTTGTTTCATTTGTTTACTAATTATGTCCGAATTTTGTGAAAATTCGAAGTGTAATTATACAAATTTTCAACTTTGTATTTTTACTTATACCAATATATTTAACCTTCAATTTATTATATCATGATTCTTAAAAGTACAGTTAGTATGATTTTCAAAAATTTCGAATTTTTGATTTATAAATTTGCCGATTTCTCCTGTAATATTTTTTTCCTGAAAATTTCCATAATATTGTCTTGTAGTTTTTATATCATATCACAAACTAGAATCTTTAAGCTTCAATTTAACATACATATCATGTCAGGATTATTAAAAATGCAGTCGATACGATTTTTTCCAAAATTTCGTATTATTTTTGATTTATAAATTTGACAATTTCTCCTTTCATATTTTTTTCCTGAAAATTTGTATAATATTGTCTTATAGTTTTTATATCATATCACAAACTAGAATCTTTAAGCTTCAATTTAACATACACATCATGTCATAAATCTTAAAAATGCAGTCGATACGATTTTTCAAAATTTTGTATTAAATTTGATTTATAAATTTGACAATTTCTCCTTTCATATTTTTTTCCTGAAAATTTCTATAATATTGTCTTATAGTTTTTATATCATATCATAAACTAGAATCTTTAAGCTTCAATTTAACATACACATCATGTCATAAATCTTAAAAATGCAGTCGATACGATTTTTCAAAATTTTGTATTAAATTTGATTTATAAATTTGACAATTTCTCCTTTCATATTTTTTTCCTGAAAATTTCTATAATATTGTCTTATAGTTTTTATATCATATCATAAACTAGAAT